GGAACATTCTGTGGAGCAAACGGGTATTAGCATGTATCAAGCTAATGAGAAGTGCATTGCCTGACTGCATGTGTATTTAGCAAACATCACCCAGTGGGCTGCGAGTCTGTTATTTCTTCTGCTGTTTGTCTACCTCATGCCAGTTAGAGAGGGCCTTGCTATTTTAGTACCAACACCCACTCTCTCCTCTTTCCTGCACGCTCAAGGTGTCTGATTACAGAAATTTGGGAGTTTGTGCCAAAACCTTTTTTTGCGCATTAATGGACTTCATTCCTGTAAATTCTTTACAAAAACCACATTCCTATAAAAAAATTTGACATACCCATGTTAAAATTTGGAAATAAAAATCCATATATATCCATATTTTTCATAACCACTTATCTAAAATAAAACACCCAAAACAAATAGGCAAAATTATGGGCGTACGCGGTAAGGAGTACGCACTGATACAGTGCGTCGCCGCACCCACTGCACAGCAAACCACCTCAGGGATGAGAACCAGAGTGCATCAGGTGATACCTCAGCACCACACTAGACTGAATGGACCAGTGTTTTTTCCCCGTTGGCTGAAGTGCCAATCCTGCCACCAACCCATAAATTTTCTCTTGAAACTTGGAGGACCTGCTTGCAGATTAACATCATACCCAGAACAGAGCAATTGCAGGTTAAGGGCCATGCTCAAGGGCCCAACAGAATAGAATCACTCCTGGCATTCATGGGATTGAAACCGACGACCTTCTGACGGCTGGCACAGATCCCTGGCTCCAGAGCCGCCGCTCTGCCTATGTTGGCATATAATAACATTTTATTCTTTAACTTCGAAGTTGGATATTTTCAGTGACCGTAACATTTTGTTGTTGTTTACCTTAAGCAGGCAATGTTGACAATTTACAAAATAAATAAGTCTGAATGTAGCTGTATGAAATGCATACACTGGCCTCAGTCATAAGAAGTAATCCGTCATTCTCTCCTGCCGTACTGACTGATTCATTTATTTAAAGAAGTAAATCTCTCACAACTGTGCTTGGTACAGGGCCAGCATTAGAGATTCAGATTTCACTCAATTAAAACCCACACATTTATGCAAATATGTGGTCTTCTTTTGCAGACGGCATGTTATAGAGCAATCAGTTTCGACCAGTTAAGTAGCTCTCTGTTATTTGTAAACCTTCAATTATTTTCTTTTTCTTTCTGTAGAACAATGTGATGGTTCTCTGGATGTGTCAAATAAGAGTGTCATAAAAAACCCAGTAATACTGATTGCTGTAGGGCAATTAATATCTGAGAAAATATGTCACTGAACAATATAAGTCACATCTGTAAAAAAATCTAAACAGAAACTAGCGGAAAAAAGGCAGAGGCTGAATATGTTGGACTTTGACGGTCTGCTTTCTTAGGTCAGCTTGCAAGTGCGACTGCAGAGCTCTGATATCACATGTCACATGTCACCTGCTTCTACAGGAGGCGCCGACTGTCATAAACAGAAGTGCTGTTGCTTCTTTTGATACATCCAGGTACAACAGTCCCTGTATTCCACCGTACAGATCCCTGTCACCTTGTGGGACCGGGGCTGTTTGCAAATTGTCAAACACTTTTAATCCCCCGGTGCAAACCCTCCGAGCATAATAAGGCAGAGCTCGCGATTTTGTCATTAGGCGAGTGGGACAGCTGCACCCTCACGCTGGCAAAGAGGGTCCCTGCTGTACAGGTGACTGTAATGATCGCTTTAGATTGATCGTGGTGGGGTACTGTGGTTGCCCACATGCCACCAGGCTGTGGTTTCACACATCCGTGCGAGAGAGTTATCACGCCTGTCAAAATAAACCCAGAGTGCCCACTGAGCGAACTCTCATCTGCATTTTCCCACCTAATCAGACTAGCGCTGCTTTTCCACTGCCGCCAGGAACTGAGCCGTACCTGAGCCGGAACGCGAAGAGATTGTTTTCCATTGCAAATTATGTGAGCCGTACCCAACCCGTAACCACATCGATATGGCCCTGTTTACGAAAGCGCGACTAGCCCGAGCTGGCTGAGCCTTGGGGCAACTCGTCGTGAAAAGCGCTATATATATATATATATATATATATATATATATATATATATATAATAAAAGTATGCAGGGCTCAGGAGCCATGGACAGGGACATTATAAGTATAACAAAAGATGCATTTCAACGGAGGTCTAAGTCATGAAATTCCAGGTTAACATATAAAAGCAATTAAGTTGTGGTCCGCTTCTGGGGCGTGTTTATGATGTGGTCCATCCACTTATCCAGTACAGGAAGCCTGGACTCTATAGCAGGACATACAGGGCACAAGGCAGGAGTGCAATCTAGAGATGATACCACAGACAATAACACACTACAGGCAATATAGAGACTCCAGGGCATCTAACTGCATGATCCACGACTGCAGGAGGAGTCCGTGGTGCCTGGGGGTACGAGCAGACCCACTGAGTCACCCTGCTGAAACACCAGACAGCTCTAAATCATACAGGCAGGGATGCTTCTCAGCAACAGCAGAATGCCTTCTGGAAACTTGAACTTTAAAACTTTCGGTCACAAGATTATTTAGATTAAATGTTATCTCATCATATAATGGACGCCGCATGGGGTCAACTGGGACTTGCCTATGGAAGTAGGACGACACGAGGGATGCACAAAGTTTTAATTGAAACCGAGGCACCACAGACATCACCATCAAACTCGAGCGGAAGCTGATGGGCTGCCAGGAGTCCTAGGAGCAATATATTTACTTTCAAAGGCAATTGAAAACAATTGATTGAGTGCAATCTATTAGCGCCAGGCTAACAGACCTGAAATAGACCTTCCTGGGCTGTGTGGATGATCTAATCCTCTGAAGTCCTAAGCGTTTTCGGCCTGGAAAAGCCCCTGGGGCAGCTTGTGGGGGAGCCCCCCCCCTTACAATCCCTGGTCATGCTTTCGGCTCCTTCCCTCAGCCCTCTCGACTTCATCATGGGCCACATTGGACGATTTCACACATATTCTCACTCTCGCCACTTATGTTTTAAGAGGCATTATTTCCGAATATGGCAGCCCGCATCCCGCACCAGCATTTTGGAGTGTCCCGTGCACTGCGGATGGATACACTGCGTATCACAACGCAGAATTATTTTAAACTGCATTTTAATGTATCTCATTCCAGATATGGGTGATTTCAAAGGGGCTATAGGGGCAAGGGGTCTTATGCACAGCCCGATTCCTCATGCTGGTCCTTTGGGTAGAATAATGAACAGAGAATTTATGCAGGATGGAAAGGTGTTTGCATTCCAAAGCTCTGTTACTATATTTATATCCTTGTGAAAGGTAACAAGTCAGCAATCTGTCAGATTCATAGGGTGTGATCTTCTGGGTCTTAACAACTTCCTTAAGGCTTCAAGGTGTTGCAGATCCCTTTATGAGAATCATATCATTGTGGACTTCTTATTTCAAAAGGCATAGTTAAATTATTTTTAGGCTTAATATCTGTCAAAAAGCAGACCAATAAAAAATCTCTGAAGACTGACACTGAGGATTGACTCTGTATTACCAGTATTGGGGACTTTACTTACAAATGTAATCCATTATAGACAGAGATGGAAAGTTCAGGTCCAGAAAGTACGAATCCAGGCCAAGGTTTTTTATTTTCTGGACCTGGACTTTCCATCCCTGTCTAGAATGGATTTGTTTTGTGAGTAACTTCCCCAGTACTGATCATATTGTACAGGACTCAATTATCGTCATTAATTAGAAGAAGCTTCCACATGAAGGCACAGTTTTTCATTTGCCGGGCTCGTTACTGCAGCTCTGGTTACTTGAGAGTACAACAGCAGGACTTTAACAAGGATTCAGCCCAAAAACCTTTGATTTACGTCTGCAGCTGTGATCAACATGTAGGGGCAGCAGGGGTTGTGGCGGTGAAATTACTTACCTATGGAACACATGAGATCCGGAGGAACCTCCCTGAAGGGGAACCAGGCTAGTTCTACTCCGTCAGCCCCTGCTGGCCTTCCACACATGTCTCGGGGGGGGTGGGGCTGAATGCTTCTTTCAGAGATGAGAGATGGACTGAGAAGCTGCTGGCCTCATGTATTTGCCAAGAATCACTTACAGGGAAATTAAGCATTTAATGAGAGCAGAAAAGCAGGATAAGGAAAGAGGGGCCCATTACTATCATTCATCGGGCTCCTTTATCGTATCGCCCTCTTATCCAGACCATACTCAGTATGCCAGATTTTTAAGTACGTTTCCGCTGATGTTCTCCAGCCTATTTTTCAGTCATTTTCGTATTGATTTACCAGTGTGCTGTTGACCAAAGCGGCACAGAGACAGTACCCTCTAATGTTTATTTCATTGCTCTGAATGGGAAGGCTAGCTCGTTTGATCCCAGCCGAGAGGACGGCAGTCGGTGGTTCTCAGAGGCGGCGGTTCTCCCACAGTAAGTAACGAGCTGCCAGAAGCTGGCATGGCAGAGCCGAAAGCGTTCAGGAGGCTGAAAATCGCAGCATCTTGGGAGGTGTAAATGAGGCCTATTTTCAACCAGCCCCCTGCAGTGGGTGGGGCCCTTTCTTGCATGTGAAAAGATGGCCACAGAGAGGAGCCCTTTTGTGTCACCCCGAATGCGCTCTCCGCATAGCAGAGGGGTGAATCGTTTGGTTACTGTCCCTCCAGTCACTTAAAAATCATTGGTAGCTGACAGAAATGACTACACAGACTCTTCAAACAGGTTATTACAGTGATGCCTGTGGGAGCACTCTATTGATCAGTAAGAGAATCTCTGATTTCCATCCATCCATCTTCCATGCCGGTTTCTCCAATACAGTTAGGGTGAGACTGGAGTCCGTTCCAGGAAACAGAGGGCACAAGATAGAGAACAACTTCAAACCACACATGGACACACACTCGGGAATCACAACGCCCCAAAGACATCACGCAGACATGGGCACGGACGGAAAATGCAAACTATATATGTGTAATAAACACCTCCCACGGTGCCATGCGATACCCAGCGCACACCCGCTGTACCATCTCCTCAGTCTAGAATTTAAACTGTACATGAACAGCCGTGTTATAAGTGTATTACATTTTATGGGCTGTCGGCGTTGCATTACAGCTCTCCCTGTCCATCCTGCATAGTTTCTCCCCGTAATAAGGGGAGACGCGCTAAAGCGCATCTCTCCCCGTCTCCTAATTGTGTGCAGACACTGCAGCAGCGCATGTTGCGCGGGGGTGGCACCGGACGGGGCTCCTCCAGCACAAAGACACCGCTCACCTCCCTCCCCGGCTGAGGATCTACTGCCATCTCAGCGGAGCCCTGAACTTGCCTCACTTTGCTCCACATCCCGCCGAAAGCGATCGGAGTGATCGGGAGCTGAAGGGGAGCCGGGACGCCGCTCCGGGGAGTCGCTGAGATCTCCAGCGCTTAAGCGACCGAGGCTACCACACCGCGCAGAAGATGAACCAAACAGCCAGCGTTTCGCATCAGGTGAAATGCCAGTCCTCCAAGGCCATCAAGGTAGGAGATTGCTCTGGCTTTTGGAAATCTGCTTATTGCGGCGTTTCTCCTTAAGTTCGCCGCATTAACTTGCCCGTATCTGTCTCCGTCTGTCACTGAAACGCTGTCCAACTTCACAGCTTTATCGTACTATTTTATTTTTTTGCGAACGGAGAATGTGCTTTGCTGCTGATAAAAGAACAACAACACTAATTATTATCATTATTATTTAACTATTTTAAGACGTAGGCTTATTTCGCAAAAGCCATTTCATTCCAGTTGTATACAATGACATGAAATACCACAGTCCGTTTCGTTTGCTTACAAGAAATATATATAAGTCCTATATATATATGACATGGCTTTTAAAACTTGCCTGCATTTTAGTGAGAACTGCAAGCTTATAGAAATGTCTGAGACGGTATTTTCTGTATTACTAATGCCGTGGATGTATGACACCTGTTTAAAAGCAAATCGCAAAAGATGACAGTTACTTTTCACTATGTCCTACATTTATTTGTTTGTTTGTGATGTTGAGAGATGTTGCTGATAGAGGTGTTGTGGTTGAGTGTATGGAGCTACGTGTAATATCCTCCGTGTTGATCGTCGGTTTTAGAAGAGAACAGAGCAATGAATGCCATTTACAAACTGGGACATTCTCTTCGTTTCCAAGTTGAATAATTGAATTTTGGACTGATTTTATCTAGTGCTGACTTTTTTTTCTTGATCAGAATGAATCTTCCATTGGTGCTCCCACTTCACTTGTAGGCAGCCTCTCCCTTGATCTAATTTGGACCTAAGCTAGTGTCCATTTCTGCTCTTGTCATTTTGAATAAGCGCTAATATCAATACTGGGTTGACCTTTTCTGTGTCACTGAGGACTTTTTGCACTTTGATAAGTCACCTTTGCTTGAGACCGAAGACATTTATACCTGCAAACCTGTCTTCCTTTAGTAACCGTTAACGACTGGGTATCATTATTGTCGCAAGCCTGTCTGGCATGCAATGAAATGTTTTTGATGTGATATGATGAGATCTGTACGCTCTGTTCTATGTGGGCATGTCCTGCTGGATCAGTCCGCCTCAATGCGAGACACCTGAATTTCACAGGAGTTTGGATCCATCTTTCCTACCATTGTGGGCGTTGCGATGCAGATTTGCAGATGTTTGTGATTTGAAAAGTCAGTTTCCCACCCTGGATATTTTTCTGCATGCACCCTTGTAGACTTCTGCAGGTGTCTGAAGAATTCCCTGCCTGTGGGTACCAGTATTCTACTTAAATGGAGCTCATAATCGTATTTGCAATCAACTAGTCTTATATACATACACAAAGCCTTGGATTTTCTTCTTTTGCTTTGTCTATTTCATGTATTGTCTTGTTTTAAATGCATTTTTGAAATATAAAGAAGTCACACGACCATAATCAATTTGGTTATGTTTTGGTTGGTGGCCTTTGGCACTCTTGTATTACAGAAGCGTCACATCTGACCCATTTTGGAAACATATTTGATATATTTGTGTATCTGTGTAATTTTCTCTATGTGCTTTTTTTCTGAAAACATTCACATAATTTGCATATGATTAAATTCTCCATACACATGTATACAGTTTTGGTTTCCAAAGCTGAGTCCTTTTTAAAATGCGGTTCTTTGGCAATAATCTGGATAACAGCAAACATCATTCACAGAATATCTGTGGTGCAGAAAATTAATCCTGAGCACCACTGATGTCATTAATCAGATTGTTAATTTTTCTGCCTTAGGTAACATTGAAGAGAGCCAATATTTATTATGTGTTTATACTGTGTAGTGATGCTGTGCATTTTCTAAACAGATGCTCCAGTATTTCAGGCTATTGTGGTGAGGGATCATTCCAGCCAGACTGCCACAGTGTATTGCTTCTTCTCTTGGAGATGGCAGCCAGCCAGAGGCCAGTGTTTCTGTTTCACAGTACTTTGCATTGCTGAGATTCTCACCCTTAAAACATAAGACATTCTCATTATTTTTATTGACATTTTGGTATCAGCATTTTCATTACCCTTCACTGTTTCCAATGGCCTTTGGAAGCCTTTGGACAACTTCTGAGTAATCAGTTTACCCAGATAGATAAATCCCACAATGCCTGGATCCAATTTAGACACCGAATTCCAAAAATGGCTCATAACCAGATAGAAGTGTAGCATTTACTCCATATTAAACTAATTACAGATGGACGAAAGTAAATTGAACTGTGTGCATTTTTTTATAGGTGTATGTAAACAACACGTGCTGTCCATAAGTTTCCAGATTTGAGGAATTCACCTGTCCACTAGAGGGCAGTCCCCAGCAAAAGCCTGGTAGTAACAATCCACACTTTTGTTGACTATAGCTTACATGCCATTATTAATTGCAATCTCTGTAGTACAACTAACTTCACTTCATTATACAAGATTTAAGATTCGGCTGAGATTTACAGCTGCAATACTGCAATACGTCTTGCCACTTAGTCTAATGACCCTATTACACAGCTTTGCCACATTCCAATGAAGTCCTTGATGTAAATTATTTGTAGACAGGAAGCAGGTTCCATTATACTTTGTGCATATTTTGAATTGACCAAACCTATGAGCAGTTTTAGCCATTAGGTTTCTATGTATCTGCTGTGACGCTAAACTAGTGAAAAGTCCATATGTATAATTTCTTTAGAAGACCCCCATGGCAGAGCTGCCGGGTTTTTATGATGGTGGGAGGGTGTCTGGCGCCTTGGGATAGGATGGGACTGTGATGGGAAGGTGGTCGGTTCAGGTTCCGTGGTCAGCAGAGTGATGAGCAAAAGGCCCGGAACCTCCAGGTTCTCCAGGGACCCACTGACCCTGCTTCCTGAATTGTGCATCGCTTTCGATAAAAGAGTCTGATAAATAAATAAATGTAAATGATGTTTCTTGTTTTTCCTCCTCTTCCGGCGAAGTCGATGGTGAGTTCTGGCGCTGAACTCGTGTACGGGACCCCCGCCTCCACCTTTTTCAGACTTTCCCGACTTTTTAACCCTGCTTGTAATCGCTTGTGCACATGCATCTGTGCAATACAGGCATTTATCACCCCCTGGCATTGACCTGATATTTCAGAATAGCTCAGCCAGGCTCATCTCAGTGATTCAGGGTCCCTGGTCGAAATGAAATGGTAGCCCCGTGTGTTTCTGTAATATCTGTTTCAGACAGCTGGCAGCAGGAAATGCTGATAGTTCTTATCGGGATTACTTCTGCACCACTTCCACGTCTTACAGTAGATTATCTTCCATGTCTACCCTTCTGTCTTCTTGGAGTCTTAATCATCTGCCGTATCCCCTTAAATTGAACTGACTTCTGACAGTAATCAAGAGAGTCTCGCCAAAAGAAAATCCAATTCATCTGCGCTGGGTTATGACTTTGTCTTCAGATGGCCCATCAGCCCTCCGGATGTAAGGGATCCGTCCTCGCGCCTCTGGTGATAAACGGAACCGATGACAGGAGACCCTTTCGAAGGCTAGAGTCTTCTGTGCGCCTGATGTTTTCCGATAAGAGCGGCGTGCCTTGCAGTGCCCACAGAGCCATGACGGCTCCGCGGGGGGGCGCTGGGAATCACTTAGCGTTGGTGCAGGAGAATCTCTTATCTGAGGCTCCCACTGGCTGCTGCTGAGCAGTGAGAATAGGAGCAGAGCGACCAGGTCATTGCCGGGGCCGCGCATGTAGGATTACCACACTCCTTCTAACCATTTAAGGTACTAGTATTGGAAGGCAGCTCAGATAAAGCAGTTTCAGGATTGGCTAATGCCTGATCGACTGATAAGACTTTATTGATTCCCGCTGGGATGTTTTTTTTTTTTCTCAATGCAGCACCAATAATATACAAGAGGGCAAAACACATTCAAAAAAATAATTACAGTATGTAGATCAGTTCTGAGTGATAGACTGAGAGTAGGATCAATCTGTTTTTACCAACAAGTTAACCAGGAGCTGGGGACCAATAGTTCTAATGGGACATGCCCGCACATTCATATACCATTACAGATGGTATTAACGTCGGACATAAAACACATCGTTATGTGATTTTGTGCTTTTGTTGTTCATTTTGCTTCAGTGCCTGAAGGGGGGCAGTGGAGAGTGCATTTCAAATGCAGACCATCAGCGGCCGGGGAGGGGGTAGCCGGCCGTTGAGAAATTAACGGTGCATGATTACGACCCTTTCAGGAGAGGCTGTTTGGGTTCCATTTCTGAAACACTAATCACTCAACCTTCGAAAGACATTGCGGTGTGAGCACAGGCGAGGCGATTGACCACTGACTCCTCCAGGAAAAGCATTTTCTAGAATTTCAGTTACACTGCAGAGTAACTAACTGCACCTCACTATGCAAGATTTACGTTTTGGCTGAGATTTGTATGTACAATTCCAAAAGTAATAAATAAGCAAGGAAATATGCAAATAAATTAAATTTACTGAGAGAAGCAGGCATGTCCCTGGATGTAGGGCTAATTTGAATGTCCACGAGACGACCGTAATGAACTGTAAATGGTGAGCCCTACTCAAATCATATCATTTTCTCAGTTATTAATTTTCATTCTGCATTTTAATAAAAGCTTTACAGACCTGGCTGCAGCTTCTAAACGCTCTTGGCATTAATGCTGGTTGCTCCTTGGCTTTGGGTGATGGAGTGTTGACTCGTGTATGAATATATCATGAAGCCCAAATGGAGGGGCATTCACGGTGCCGGTAAGGAAATGATACAGCGTGTCGATTTTGTGTCCAAGGGAAAGACCTCAAGTGCCCAACCACAGTACAGGAAGCTGTCAGTGGTGCAGGTAAGGGATTCTAGGTAATTTTGTACCACGTTTAGGTAAATGCCTTTTCTCACATTACCCAAATGACATGCAGATGGATACATGCACAAAACGTGTTAGAGAGCTTTAAACAGTTTGTTAGCCTCCGTCCAGTGGTGAAATACACCCAAGTCTTTATGCAGTTACAGCGCCAGGTAGACTGTGTGCCTTTGGTGGGGTTCGAGGGTTT